ATCCGTCCTCATCTGGTGAGATCGACGAACGAATTTCTTCTTCATGCACTTTCATTCGAAATGAAGCTCCCCCGCATAAGTTAGCTGTGACGTAAAACAAAAAGTCCAATCTTATCCTTGTCAATTCATCTATTTATATCACATGTCGACACATCTCCACTCAGCTAAATAGCCTTAGGTGCCATTTTATAATAAGTCGGATGTGGCTTTCAAGGGAAGCTATGTGTTTCTAAAATAGTCCGTAGTGGGATATTCAATGAGGCAAACATGTGTTTGCTATTAGAAACAAAAGTCGTTTCTTATCAAGAGCATGATTATATTTATAATGTATCTTATTTTATTCAATAAGTTTCGACGAATTCGAGACGCACTAATAGTAAGTTAAAATGAGATACGAAGAATAACTGGGTATGATTAATCTCCTGAGACAACATTGTTGTGGGGACTTTCATTTCGCATGAAATGCATGGAGAAGAGATTCGTAGGTCGATCTCACCAGAATAGGACGAAAGAATCCCGTTTTACCTTAATACGACTTTCAGAATGATGCAGTCCACGAGACTTTCGCCCTCGTTTAGGATGAAAACGGGCCGAGCTTTCGTCCATCATTCGATGGACATCATCAGAGCTTCAACCCATTCTTGTGAAAGTCTCACGTTTAAACCACTGAAAAAAGACTATCCGGCTCTGTTATACCTCTTATATACACTCAACTAAGCAAAATTAAAAAAAAGCGCAGATGGATATAGAATGGTTTGGTCAAATATCTTTCATACTGATCCTGCTACTTTTGCTCGAGTCTGTGTGTGTGTGTTAATGTGTATACACAATACCGATCCTAATCAGGGTGATCAAAAAGGCTAATGTCAGGCTCCGGCCATCAAGGGTTTAAAAAGAGAAATAACAATAATAATAGAAGCACAAAACCTTGTCACATCCTGATCTTGAAAGAAGTGCTCTGCAAAAGCCAAATATTTGACCAGTACATTGAGACCTTTAATTATGGTCTGGTCAGATCGGCATGTTCTAGTGGAAAGCCTGACTCAAGCGAGGTCCCAGCATTGGGCATTGACTGTGCGGCCATGGCATCCTTCGTCTTCGGAAAGCTTAAGACAGGTCTTCTTGAGGCGAACGCCTCGCTCACAGCCGTGAGATCGCAGACACCAGAAGATTCCATCTCGAGCGAAAAATTGGACAAAAAGAGGCCATACCTTCGGCCAGAAGTCTTTGAGGCTTCCCGCATGACCACTCTTTGTCCTGCTACATAGCCCCTTCTCCACACCACCCTGTCGCCTCCCCGTATGACTGCGGCCCTATGTAGCAACTCGGACCAACTTTAAAAGGATGTGAGTAGGCCAGCAGTAGTCTGGTCAGCCCCGGTTGGTCGAGAGTTGTGTAGGCCTG